CGAAGGATCTCTTCAGTGGGTGGGATAAAGTAGCCCACGAGTAGGTGTGTCACAGATGTAAGACTCCAGTGCCATTGTGACGGCTCGAAAGTGCGCGACAATGGTGCTGGGGTCTTACAAAGTCAGCATTTGGCGACTAATCTTAGCATTTGGACGAGTTACGTCGCGCACACCCATGACACGCAACGTGGATTACGGCGTAGCGGCTAATTCAAATACGCGCGGTTTAGTTGAGCCGTGGAGCAGGCAAGTTCGCACAACTCGCCTTCCCCGCTGCTTCGAGGACATCATTCTTTAAAACATCAACAACAGTTTTCTTCGCTTCATTTTTCCAGTTTTCAGCCAATTCGGCACCCGCAACTCCATTGTTGACCACTGTGACCCCACAAATTCGTCTGGAGTATCACTTTAATATAGGAGAGGAAGGGATTTTGCGAATGGCCGCAATAACTCACCTACGAGTCAAGCACCACGAAATGCATAGACCTTGCTTTTTCTTCAGAAGACGACCACGAAACATTTTGAAACATAGCTTATAGATGCGTTTGCAACAAATATTCAATTCGCAGTCAGATTTGTTGTCTTATAAAAAGTGTATTCATTTTTTCAGGTGACCCTTATAATTGTGAAATGGTGCAAGAACCGAAGATTATTTTAAAAAAAGGCTAAAAGAACGTATGCTTTTGCGATAATTGAGGTACGGGGTTTATACTGAGAAATCTGCTAGGGGCGCTAAAAAGTCTCCGCCTTTGTTGGAAGGGCGAATTCGAGAATATATGGCTAAGAAACGCGCTTTATGCTTGATCATTCCACATTGCATGCTGAACATTGATGTGATGAGACCATCTTTCGATTGTGATATTCTGTACAATAGCATTATAAAGAAACCTGGATGTTCTTCACATTCTTAGCACTCGTATAGATTAAGGCAGCGCCTAGTTGAAGACATAGACGTCGCACTTGCACGAGAATACGATCAGCTTGTTGATCGGTCATTTCGTTACCTACAACAGAGAATAACTGATGAGAGCAGTAGTAGATTGAGCTAATTGAGGAATGACGAATTAATGAAACAAAATGGTGAGAAACAATTCGAAGTACAAACGGAGATAACGCCGCGTAACATTTCAAAGATTCAAAAAACTCCCAGGTGAGCTCTCTATCCTTCCAATTTGACTAATCGGTATCAGAGGGTAGAGATGCCGGTTTTCTTACCCCTGGCCAACCTGTGCAGACAAGTGGCCCAAAAACACACAAATCCATTCAATCTTGAACATGATGCAAAGAAAACCAGTACCCAACATCTTTCCTCGAACGACCAATGCCTCGGTGTCAATGCCTTGTTAAGGAACGGCTACTTTTAACAGTTTTTATTCAAGATCGCAGATATCTACAAAGTGGGGTATAAGTATGGTGAAAAAAATGAATGTGGCTTGTCCTTACCACAAAGCCAAACGAGATACCAACTTCAGCAAGTCATGACCATATCCTATCAAACACTTGGTAGCAATTCTTATTCAAAATGCGCCCACAAACTTGACAATTACTTTCAGACGGCCCCACAGAAATCGAGCCTTGCCCGCATGACATCCTTCAGAATTTCACCTTATACTTTTTGAACAGCAGCTTTTAGCAATACAAGCGAGCTATATTGTTTCGAGCTTCTTCAGATTTAATACCGACCACATTGAATAATCCACTACCTTAGAGGTGCATAATGGCCAATTTTTATCTAACATCATATCATCATATCTAAGTCGGACAGATGGGCTCTGCACCGAACTTGCGCAAGATTCACTACTTCAGCCGGCACTCTGCCTTGCCAATAAATCTTTAAATCACGTGAATTTGACGACAGCTTTCCATGAAATTCCACCTAGGATAGCGTTTGGCTTGGAAGTTTACTACCGCATAAACGAAATCAAAGAAAGGAGAGGTCGCGATCGCTGAGGTTCAATTCATCGCTGCCTTAGAGAGTTCACTTTGATTGAAGTTGTTAATGCTGTCAGTTTCCATGAAGGCCTCAAAAATTACTTCTGAGTTTTCTCTAATGAAGATCCGATCTTTGGGAAATACAAAGAAATTTCTCATCGTCCACATAGGGCCGGCCTCGCCAGAAGCCGTTGATACTTTCCACGCACAACTATACGCGTCTTCTATCCTGATAATGTCATTTATACCCTATATTATCATGACCCTCGACGAATTGGGTTTGATAGGCTTCATCTTTCGAATACAGCAGATTCCGGAAGAAAATTAAACGGCAGCGTTTAAGATAGACGTATTCGTTGAGGATTGAGCGGAGCCATCTACACAACAAAGGCAGTGTTATACGTACAGCGCAGTGGTTGATCTGATGGTACAAACGAGAGCTTTGGTCACTTAAGTTTTCTGATGCCCAATCTTGTCACCATATTCATGCCCCACTCAGCAGCAGTTCACATCGCGTCGACAAGTGACTTCTGCGGTAATTAATTCAAATCTACAC